ATTGTGTTTAAATCTTTATTACTCAATTCTAATATGAACGACACTCGGTATTTGCTGAATGAATGAATGAATGTTACATTTCCACCTTTCCCCAGCAACTTGCACTTATCTTTTGATTGACTTAAGGAGCCCAGAAAAGGAGTCAAGAAACCTAGGTCTACATTTGGCTCTAAATCTCCCATTATGGCCTTGTTAACTAATCCCTCTGTTGTGCAATCAGTTGACATCTGTTATACCTAATTTGCATGGTGGTTTCAAAAGCTTAGATAATTAATATGAAAATGCTTTGAAATTCATAGAACTATACAGGTATGTTCTTTATTTGTAGAGCAGTTTCTCACCTAGCTATCTCAGCTCTCATCACAGAATACCCAAAACAAGCAAACAATATCTATAAACAGTTACTGTATATCTCATACAATCATTCTCCTTAATTATATGTATCTTATCCACAGAAGAATCCTCCCAGAAGACTCCCTTCAATTTCACTTTATGCAAATTAACAAGCTTGTTTTTCTTTCTCCCAAATTGCAAACCACACTCAAGTAGCCAAACTCAAGGAAGATGGTAGAATCCCAAAGTCAAGAAATCAGAGTACTGTGTAATAATCCTAATAATACTTTGTACTCCTTAAGAAACCATTCAAAATTACATTCTTAATGATGATCCTGAGTCATCCAGAAAACTTTACACATGAATTACACAGAGAACACATGTATATTTATTTGATATAAGAAAACAGAGATTTGGGTCATAGATTTTGGAAAGATTTCAATTTTTAAAAAAAGATGCTGGAGGCAAGAAAAGCTAGCATCCTTCGATATTTCTCTTTCTCCTTAGATCAGGGTTAAATTTTCAGCTCAACTGCAGAAACACAAGGGACTTCTGGTTTGAATATTGTATTCTATTTTTTTCCCTCCTTATTTTGACATTCTATTTTAATTTGTGTTTTTCCTGGTTCTTGTTTTATAATTTATTATTTATATTAGAGCCATTTTACTGTTTGCCTTATAAACTACCTCAGAAATTTTATGGAACATGACAGAAATATAAATAAATCACTACAACTTGCAATATACATTAGTGTGATGCAAAAGTAGGCATTTAGTAAAAATGTATTCTCCACAGAGAAAAAAGTGATGATATTAATCAGGAATATTGCTGAATTATTATTATCTTTCCCACTTTCTAATTTTTGGATAGGTGCAATGAAAAAGAAAATAAAGCTCTGTAAAAGAGCCACAAAAGTTAACCATATGAGAAGAAATTCCAAGGAAGAAGGATGAATGGAAAAACCAATATTTTCAAACACAGTCCTTTTTCCCTTTTTCTCCTCTTTTTGTAAAACAACTGTGCTCTAGAGCAACAGAAGCCAATTTAAGCTTCCCTTCTGTCTCTTCTAAAACCAGAGGAAAGGCTAACAAAATCAAAACTGACCCCCTGGCTCAAAGGCCCATATTACCAGGAAACCTCAGAGTGATATCACATTTTTTTCTGGTCCTCCACAGAAGACTGGTAAAGTTGCCAAAGAGGTCACAGGCAGAAATCAAACCACTTGAAAACTGGTCTTCAGGTTATATTCTGCTAAGGAGAAGAGTTTAATCACAAGTCCTTTGTTACAAAGCTAGTAAGTCATCACTGGTTACTCTGGAATTAACAGACTGTAAAGACTCCACTTAGTTCCATTCCTAGTTCATAGCATCCCAAACAACAACATAAGCCAATTAAGCTTCCCTTCTGGATTGGTGTAAGGACATCCAAGTTCTAGAACCACTACCACCAAATCCAACTCGATATATGACACCAGACAAGTGCGTGGTCCTCCTTGTGCCCATTTGTAAATGGAGATGATAATTTCTGACATGCCTATTTTCCCTAGGAGCTACAAGACTGACATTAGGTATTTTCTGTTAATAGTCAGAAGCACACACTGAAGCTAATTGCTTCCTGCTGTTTATTCCCATTAAGCTCTGGGAGTATTATAGCCATCACATTGTCTCATGATTATCTATTTGCATGTCTGTGTCCTTGGCTACACGTAGAGACCCTCAAGGGTAGAAAAGAGGTCAAATTCATCCTGACATCCCTCACCTTCCATCACATCATTTGACACATAGCAGGTGCTCAATAATACCTTTCCAATGTCAAAAAAAGAAAGACAACACCCAACCACAAAACCCTAATGATGACTTACTTTGAGACATCACAGAAATAAATCTCAGATCCTCAAATGAAAAACAAAATAAAAGTAAGTATCTAATGACTTTCCAACAATCTAGAACTTGTCCCCCAAAGTAAACTTCAGGTTTTGGTTGTTGTTTTAGTTTTGTGTGGGATTTTTTTGTTTCGATTTTGTTGTTGTTTATATTTTTGAGGGGTTTTTTGTTTTGTTTTGTTTTGTTTTTTGTTACTAGGGACTGAGCCAAGGACCTTCACACTGAGTTACATTTCCAGTTTATTTATTTACTATCATTTAGACAAGACGTTGCTAAACCACTGAGTTAAGCTCAAACTTTCAATTTTTCTGTTTCAGCATCCCAGAGTTCTGGAATTTCAGGCATATCACACCACATTTGACATAATCATTAGTTTTTAAGAACTTTCTGATTTAGAACACAAACTAACTAAACTGTTAGTTTGTAAAGATTGCCTATTCAGTCTTTACAAAACTCTGCAAGATAGACACATTGTTATCTCCACTTACGTAAAAGGAAATTGAGTTACAAAGAAGTTAATTCATTTGTCCATTACGACATATAAGAGCCAGGCAAGGTGACTCAGGCCTGTAACACCAGCACTCAGGAGGCTGAAACAAAGGATCATGAGTTGAAGGCCAGCCTGAACTACATAATAAGACCCTGTCTCAAAAAATCAAAGATAAAAAATTTAAAAACATTTTTAAAAAACCATTGAAATTTACCAGTAACTGCCATGGGACCAGGAGGCTTGGCACTTTTTAATTAATTCACTAATTCAAATCAGCTAAATAGAATATAGCAGGCAGCCAGGTTGGTGCACTGGGGCATAAAAGATGAATCAGACACACCTCCAGGGCTCACCGTCTTGAGAATCATAGCCAGGAGTGTAGATAACAAGCAAGAAAGAGACAGAGTCTGATAGGGGCTCCGAGGAGAGAACACTAAGGGAGAATCTGTGGGTCAGTGATTTGGTCTGGAGTGAGCATTGGTGAGATTGGGAGAAACACAGCTGGGACATTAGCACAAAGGGAACAACAAGAGAAATGTCAGGGAAGATAGAGATCATATAGACAAGAAGAAAAATTGGAGAGAGAGCAAATATGAGATAGAAATGCATATATAGTAAAGATCTGTGAGGAACTGTGCATTTAACAGTTGGATATGGAAGTGCTGGGCTGGAAGTGGTGAGAGAATCAGGAATAAAAATACTCTCAAGTGATCTGTATACAGGCATTCAGAGAGATGGAGACAGAAAGATGGAGAGAGAAAAGGAAAAAGAAGAAAGAAGATGATAGAGAGGAGAGGAAAGAAGGAAAGAGAGAGGGAGAAGGAATTTGGAGAAGACAACATCTAAAATGTAAGAGGAGTCAAATAAAGTCCTGGATGTCAGCTATCAGAAGATAGAAGTTCAAAGGAAACTTGGAAAAGATACGGGAGATGGAAGATGAAGATGAAGACTTCATGCCTTTTTTAGGACATAAAATGTGGGAAGTAGGGAGTCACTAATAATATCTGAAATACCTACTTGAGCCAGCCTGGGGAGGCTGTGAAGGATGAAAAGTCATGGAATTGACTGGGTTGGTAAGAAGTGAAGATAAACTCAAGAGATTTGAAAGGGGATCTGAGGAGATGGGAGATTTGTTTGGTCCTTGGGCAAAATGGAGACTCAGGACCGCGGTGTCTACTCACACTGTGGAACCATCACAGGTTGGAGCCGTCACCTCAGCACCTGCTCTTCTTTGCCTTATCAGCACTGTGTTCCAGTCAACTAATCTGACATGGAAACTCCATTTTTATTGGAGCACTGTTTGGAATTTTGTAGCTAGATGAAGACATCAAAGCAACACAAGCACACCCAATGGCCCCGCTGAGGTGTCATTTTTCTAAAATCCTCTCCTATAGGACACGTGTTCTATTCCTTCTTTAGTACTATTCTTTATCCTGAGGCAGCTTAGGAGCCCTCAGTAAGCTCTTGAGCCATGAGCCATGAGCCATCATTAATGCTCCTCAACTTGACATCCTCTTGCACTCACTAGATGTGATGCTAAGCAATTTTGTACTCTTTTCAACCAAGCATATTCAAAAGGTGGTTCTCACTAAGGATTCAGAAGCTGCTTTGAGATGGCAGCTTCCTAAGAACAAGAATTCAGCCTTCTGAAGCAGCCCCTGAGAATAGGACACTTATGTGTACAACTGCAGTGTTTGTTTCCAAAGAGTAGCCTTTAAGGGACCGTGGTCTAGGCTTTACCCTTGTCACCCCATCTGTCTTCTCCACAGTCTGTCAGAGGCCTTACACTGCCAAGGTCCCAAACACTAAGGGTCCTGCTGCAAAAATATTTCTTAAACATCCTCATATTTGCAAAACCACAAGGCAAAATGATTATGCTGTATACAGAGGAAAAGGCGCTTACAAGAGGCACATTCCAACCCTACCATCCTTCTTCCTGTGTGGCCTTGGACAAGTCACGCTCTGCCTCCCCTCGGTCTCTTTATACAGACAGGGAGCAGTTTAGGTAAACCGATCTCTGAGATGCTAATCATCCTCAAAATAAAAACTGGCTATGTTTGGGCAAACTATTAAAAACTATTAGAGCAAGGGTCTTTGAATGATGAGGCTAAAACAAAAGGTTTTGGAGGTACAGAGAAAAGAAAAAAGGCACAGAGACCAAAGATGCACTGGGAAAGATGTTCCCACAGCCTAGGGAGCAACTTCTGCCCCACTAAGAAATGGGGCACTCTGCTCATCCCGCGATGGTGCCCGGGGTGGGAGGGACAGTGCTGTGAACCATGGAGACTCCTTACCCATAGTGTTGTTAGCTCGAGAACAGACGGTGCGCTTCAGAATCTCATGCACCTAAAAGAGAATCACAGAGAGCAGTCAGCGTCATGGCCACCGTGTCACCTTACACTCAAGGATCCCCATCAACCCCGCTCACGCTGGAATGCTTAGCCCCACACACACCAAGAGAGATGAAACTGAGGCTCTGTCTCCTGCAGTTACAGGAAGTGAAGGACAAGGGAAGCACAGGGCCCCCTGGAGGGCTGGGGAGAAGACACCCAGGTCATGATCCACCTCCCTCTGTGAGGGCCCTGTCACAGCCTCCTGGGGAAAGCTGGGGGCCCCCAAGATGGGGAGTCCTTGCAGAGGGGCTCTGAGCTCATCCTCCCTTTAGAGCTTCCCAGGAAGAGCCCAGGAGACAGTGCATGTAGAAGTGTTTGCAGACTGTGAAAGGGCTGTGTATATAGTGGCCAGTGGTTTGCTCATTCTCCAGGCTGCTCTTGAGTCTCTGTCCTGCCTCCCCATCAGAGTATATCTATAGGCCCTCAGAGACCTGTCTTAAAGTTACCTCCTGCTCTGACACTGCCTGTGGAAGGCCTCTGCACGTATCAGTGTGCAGAACTCCCTGACTGTGCCTGATAGGAAACAGGACCTCTCTAGAGAGGGAAAGGATGCTCCCTGATGAGGAACCTGGGACAGAGGTCGGTAGGCCATGCCTGCAGGTCACTAGGGACTCCCAAGGACGCTGAGCCTGTGCTGAACTGAAGCAGGTGCCAGGCAAGGGTGTCTGCTCTGGAACAAACAACAGACCAGATCAGGGGGCAAGAAAGAGAGGGAACAGGAAGACATTTACATCTGCAGGTGACTCCTGCAGTCAAAATCCACAGTGGAAGAGATCTCAGTACAAAACTGAAAGCTCTTGTCATCTTCTTCGGTATGGAATAGACTGAGGAAAGGACAGAGAAGTAGGAAAAGGTTTCCAGAGAGATGCATAAGAGAAGATGTGTGTCCCATTATTATTCACACCCCTATACTCGGGCCACAGACTGAGAAGGAGTGGTAAATAAATCACTTCCAGCAGAAGGGGGCCCGACAGTGTTTGATTCTGCTTCTACTACGGTGCAGTAATTCAACAGCAATAATAATTAGGAACAGCATGTATATGCATTATATTATTTTACAAGCACTTTGTAATTATCGGGTAAGCTGCACGACACTCTGCAACTTCCCCCATAGTCGTGGTAGTCGTGGGACCCAAGCCACAGTGAGATTTAATTGCATTGTAATAATAGCATCAAAGAAAATGAGAAGTTCACACCTTTTTCCATAGAAAGAAAAAAGAAATCATATGTTCATCGTTAACCCTTCCTAAAACACACGGCTGAGGAGCCTGAAACATTTTCTAGCACAGCCTAAAAACTGTAGGTGTGATCATGTTTTTTTCTGTGCTTTGGAAATGCTCTCAGTAGATCCTCAGTCACCTGTTCCTTCTTATCCTTCTTGGCTTGGGCTATAACTCTTATTCTCCAGTGGAGATTTAAGATCTTTATCAGGGATCAGGGGAATAAAAGAGCAAAGGAAACTCTTTCCTGGAGGTCCATGTTTCCCATGTGAGTGTAAGGAAGTTCTAGCATTCCCTGCAGCCCTCTTCTCACCTCTGCATATAGGCTGACTCCAGGAGCGTAGAGAATGAACTGATCAGTATACAGAAATAGGACATGTGTCAGGATAAGTACAACCACATACTGGTTTTTATTAGAATAAAACCATCTCAAACAAAAACTTCATGTAAACAGCAGAAAGACTGGAAGAACTTTAAGCACAAATGTTATCTTTCTACTGATTTGGCTGGTGGGCACTTGACTGACTCTAGCATTTTTTAATGCAAATTTGCATAATTCCTTGATACAGAGATACAGAGAAAAAATGCACAGTGGCCCAGCAATCAAAAGGACTGCTTCTGCTCTTGGTTCTGATACTAACAACCTATTCAAACTTTTCAGCACATTGCTTCTCAGACTCTCAGTGTCTTCAACTATACACCAAAGGGTCACATATCTAACGGGTAGGCAGCCTGCATCATCCCTAGCATTTTGTTTTGTGATTCTAAGAAGGACTTCAGTGGAGAATCCATAGAACAGAGAGGTTCCTCTCAAACCTGGGTAAGGGAAGTTGGCTGCTATTCTTGATTGCTAGAGGCGTGAGGAAGCTCTTGGATACGCCTGTTAGTTGCTGGGCAACCTCATGCAAGTAGTGATGAAAGGTAGCAAGGAGGGCAAGAGAGTCCCCTGCCAACCAGCTGCTCAGCCTTTGCCAAACACCTTTCCTAACTCAGCACATCTATTTACTTACAATGCGGCTTCGGGTGGCGTTGTCAAAGAAGGTATCCTTCTCCTGGATGTTGTACCTGGAGACACCAAGAAAGCAAATAAGAGATAAACTCATGCCATTACCCCCGAGCCAGGCCCACTCCCATCCCCAGCCCAGGCAAATCCTTTAGAAAAAAACATGGAAACACATATAAAGTACACACACTCACACTCCACAGTGCTTACGCTTTTTTTGTTCTTTGTTTTTTTGTTTTGTTTTGTTTTGTTTTGGTGCTGGAGAACAAAGGCCTCGTGCATGCTAAGCACGTGAGCTACATTCCCAACCCTTTGTACTTTTTTCATCTTATAAAGCTGAAAAATTATAGGTCTATCATAAGTCTACCACCTCAAATGTACCTGATCTCATCTAAAAACTAATCATAGGAATTTTGTGATAAATAATAAACTGAACAGAGGAAAACTTTACATAAGAAATTCATTGTAATAGTATTTATCATACAAATTGTGGAGATAGGCAAATTCCCCCACTGATATCATATATTAACATTAGGTCCTTGATAATTACAATCAGGAACAATTTGTAACTAGAAAAATTTAGAGCACAATAGAAAAATATTACAATAAGTTTTCAAAATGCAGCTATGTAGGAAACACACGTGTGTATAGACAGAAAGAGTAAGAGTATAAAATACAAATCCGTCTAGTCAGGGTATTGAGATTATATCTCTTTCTGTTTTTCAAAATTTCTCGAATCAATTAGATCAGTGATGTTGAACCTTTTAGCGATGAGGGCCCAACTGTAACCTGAAACCCATTTACTTATCACAAAGTTCCCACACTGCAATTAAACCTGAATACTGAGATCTTAATTTAGAAAAAACAACTGTACGTGAACATTTCTTGTCTTCAAAGAAAAACAAATAACACACATGCCATAGGTTCATCACCACTAAATTAGATACTAAACTCCTGCTTGTTCAGTACTTTATATATTGAATTTATCACTCAAAAATTTATGCATGGAGGGTTCTTCATGCCTAAGGCATCATCCTAGAGGACACACAGGTCCTCTAGGTGAATGCAGTACTCCCAGCCCCCAGGAGCCACCAGCCACTGGGGTACACATCTACAAGTGATGTGAACTAGAATGTGGCATCTGAGAGTCCAGAGAATGGACTTCTGTTTGGGAAAAATAGAATTTCCCCAAAAAGAAGACGTTCATGACTGGCCTTTTAATGAAGCAGAAGGAAGAGAATTATATGTGTGGGAGGGAAGGCCAGGGAATAAGAAATGAGATATGGAAAAAGCCAGAATGCAAAAAGAATAGCAGGAGCCAGGGATGGCAGTGCATGGATATAATCCAGTACTTTGGGAGGCTGAAACAGGAGGATCACAAATTCAAGCCCATCCCAGATTACAATCCCAAAATAAATGAATAAATAAATAAAGGCTAGAAATGTGGTTCAGTGTGAAGGGCCTGGGTTCAAACCTCATGATCAGACACACACACACACACACACACACACACACACACACACACACACCCCAGAGCAGCAAGCAAGGTGTCACCATGTCAGTCATAGTTTAGTCACTTATGGCTGCATCACCGTGGACCAACGTTAGACCTCATTTTCCTGTCTATCATAGAGCAATGGTTATATCTGGTAAGTCACCTCATAAAAAAGGTGTGAGAACTTGCTGAGATGTAGCATATCCATGTGCACAGAATCACTGTCTTACACAGCCAAGACAGGCAGCAGATGCTGTCCCAGAACCCAGAAATACTGCTCTATGATTGCCACCTCCAGAGGAGGATGAATCCTCCCATTTTCTCCACCTTTCCAGAGCCCTCCTTGCCTCTCTTGCTCAGTTCCCTGGATATCCCTGATACCATGCCTTTCCCATTAGCTCCTGCAATAGAGTGCCTGGCCTCTGTACCTCTCACTTCCCAGCCATGGCCTCTGCTTCCATCTTGTTCCTGGGGTCAGTCCTGTACAGGGGTTTGATGCACTCTCCCTGGGTGGAAATGAGTGTGCTCTTTGGAGACAGCAAGTGCATGAATGTGTAGTGAGAGTACTAAAATCCAGAAACTTCAGCCCCCTTTGCTCCAGTTTATCTCATCATGTCCAAACCCCATTAAATTGGGAACTGGGCAAAGGAGTTTCCCCGCAGAAGGTGGACAGGGGTCTATCGCTGTCTTTCACAATGCTCTGCAGATCATAGCTAGCTCCACCTTTGTTCTCCATCCACATGCATGGTGGCCAAATGGCAGGTGTCCCTCTTGGACAAATGCTCAGGGCTGTTTGAGACAATCTCATATGGAAAGAGAGAGTCATAGGCACAGGAAGTATTTCACTGTAAGAGCACACACCCTCCCCTGGTTCCTAGACATCTGGGCACTCACTGTGTGGTTCCACTTCCTCCTCCCCACTCCCTCCCCACACCTGTCCCAGCAGCCCATACTCACAGGTACATTTTCTCCCTAGAGAATGGGTAGGAAAGGTTCTTCATCCTGTTGTTGCTGTGGTCTGGAACTCTGGGCTGCAGTGATGAGCTCAGCTTCTGCAGAACTGCGTTGAACTTCTTCGCAATACTGCCTCCTGCTTTGATCTCGTACATCTATGAAAAGCAAAGCCAGGGGTCTGAAAAGGGGGTCACAGACAACACTCAGTGGTGGGGATTGGACTTCACAACCAGAACTGCACAGTGCCCAAGCCATGGGAGGGATGGTGGATAAAGAAGTAGTCTGGGAAAACTAAGAAGCAAGACCTTTTCTTTGCTGTCAAAGGACACCCTGTGTTAAATGGGCGGCTGGAAGTGACAGAGCAGGAAACAACCAGAGTCTAGACCTTCTCAATGTGACCTGATATCATCACAAGAGAAACTGCAAGTCTACTAAGTGACAGCCATCATATCCTACTGGGCAGTATGAAATTATTGTACAAGCAACATCTGGTGCCTCACACAAAGTGGGCTCCAATGCTCATAGCAGCCCAGCAAGGTGAGTAATATGTCTGTACCATGCTAAGGAAATTAGGGCTGTGACAGGTGAGGCAGGTCAGCAAAGTTCACATGAGCCACAGAAGCTGCCAGAGCTTAGCTTGAACTCAAGTCAACCTAATCCAAATCTGTGCTGCAACTATGCCACATCCTGTGACCAACCAGAATCACTTTGTTTCTCTAGGAAACATCTGTTAACTAGTTAGATAAATTTGCTTTCAAAATATCAAACTCTTTCAATATATCAAATATGTAAAGGCATCATCCCTGAACAAGGCAGAGATGGACCACCTCAATTATTAATAACCATAGTACATACCATTTCTAAAACAATGCACAGAATGTTTCTACCTACATTATAGTTTTGCATCTTTCTAATTTGCAAATGTAGTTACTGAGCCACAGAAGTTATACTTCTGATAGGAAACCTATAATAAATTACTTATGCCCCCAAAATGCTCACATAGATTTTCCTTTTGGGCTTGGAGAACAATGCCAAAACCCCAAAGCTTCTGGTAGACTGAAGAGCCTCCCTTTCAGTCTCCTCTTGGCATCAAGGCACTCAGGAGCCTGAGGGGGGCTCCTGAGAGGGGTCCAGGAAGGCCTGCATTTAGCTGGTGCAAATTCATAGCTCACCAATGTCTCAGGGCCTATTCTGGGAGAAAATGCAGCTGAGAACTTCCAATCAGTTCCTGGGTCTTCTCTTGGCCTTAGAGGAACAGGCTGAAGAGCTTAGGCTTTCATGCTACAACATTCATATCACCAGGAGTGGGGTCTGCGTAAATTTTGAAGTTTTTGTAGTTTTTGTTTTGTTTTGTTTTGTTTTACTTTTGGCAGAACTTGGAATTAAACTCAGGGTCTCACATATCCTAGGCAAGCACTGTACCACTGAGATGCATCAGATATAGTAGGATCATTCTGCAAATTTTATTTTGAGACAGGGTCTCACTAAGTTACCCAGGTTGGCCTTAAACTTGTGATCTTTCTGTTAGCTGGGAGTAGGTATGCACACCATGCCTGGCTATTTTGACTGTTGATAGAGGATACTTCAAGCCTCTAAAAGTAATGCTATCATCTGCTGTCAGGAAAATGGTCAAAGGTGTGGAAGGACAAACTTTCACCAGAAACTTCAGAGTAACATCTATTCCACAGCCCTGAACAAGTCTCACAAATGCTCCCAGGGTGAAGCACCACAACAGACTTAGGGTGGACCAAGGTTTTTCGGGAACACTGTGGGGAATAGATCCAGAAACATATGAACAGCAGGCCACATGAGGTACACCATGCCACTGGCGTTGGGGACAAGGACCTCCATGCTTTGGTGTATGTTGTGACTATTCTTGAACTTTCTTGCTCCTTTTGTCTGGATAACTCCAACCTCTCCTTCAGCACCAAGATCCAAATGTCAACTTTCCCACTCACTTCCTCTCATGCTTCTCAACTTTTCTACTTCTCATGCTTCCTTGGCTCCCTATGAAGGATCATCAGTACTATAAAATTTACCATGGTTTGCTCTTCATTGTTTACTTATCTGTCTCCAGTTCTTGTTTACTTGTCTGTCTCCCCAACAGAATGTGGACTTCCAGAGAGCAGAGAGTCCTCTCCTTGTGCCTGGCACATAATGAGAACACAGTAATACTTCTTGATTCAATCACCTAGGTCCTAGTCCTTGCTGGCATCAGGTTCATAACCTGGAGTAAGGCATTCTTCCTCACTGTTCTGTCACCTCTAGGAAGAGCATCAGGAAACTTCTATTTCTCATTATGATACAGTACCAGAGGCCAGGTTTACTTTCCCACAAGAAAACCAAAAACATCCAAAGGAAGGACATAAGGTAATAGTTTCCAAGTTCCTGGACAACAGGTGAAAAGTGGCAGAGATCTTTGAGGGACCAGAAGTAGACAGGAGAAAGTGGAAGGGCAAACAGGAGGAGCCCAGAAAATCCCCACAGTTGAGATAGTTACAAGTCTGGGGAGACTCAGGAAACTAAAATTCACCATACAGAGCACCTGAGAGGACTGAGCACCCCAAGAACCCCAGAGGCATGCAGAAGGCCCTTCTTGCATCTTTAATAGTACAAATGTGAGGAAATTTCCCCAGACTAGAGAAAGAACTAACTGGAAACATCTATTACCACTTAGTAGAGGGGAAAATCCCATAATTCATGGGGAATTGAGTAATCTCAGATTTACTCACTAGTGGTGGATAATTAGCCTTAGACTGAGTGCTGCTTCAGACCCACTTAACAAATCATAAAAGAGGAAAATGCCTTTTAAAGCATTGCCCAAGTCTAATGTTCTATGACATTAAAGATGTAATGAAGGAGAGACACTCATTCATGCACAAATACTTTCAGGCACTTCCTGGAATTCAAGTCCTTAGCTTGGTGTTAGCCTGTTAGCCTGGAGAAGTTCAGGGTTCACAGTAAACTGCTACATGCAGAAGAATGCTTTCCAGGGTGTCCAGCACCTCCAAAGGCAGGATCTCACTGCCCTCTCTCTGGCAGGCTTGAGGCATGTCTGTCTTAGAGGTGACAGAGAACCCAGGAAGGGCAGAGGATTGCCACAGTCAATGGAAAAATCAGTCCTGGAATCCAGGTTTCTCAGCTTCCCCATCCAAGGGCTCTTCTCTGGCATCTAATGTCCTTTGGTCCTTTGCAGGTTCCTTTTCTGAGAAGGAAGCAGGCTGGAGCTCCCTTCTCAGCCCTATCAAAATCAGCAGCCCAGACTCTTCTTTTGCCTTCTGCAGAGTCCGAGAAAGACACCCCAAACCTCTCTAATATTATTAATACAATCAGCAGTGGCATCGTTATTACTGTTATTCTTGGACATCAGAGAATTATGAACATCCTCAGAAATGGCGAGACACATGTTAGCCAGCTGTTCCCCATTATGCCCTCCCTGGGTACATGATACGCCTTTCATGTGCTTAAAATCATAAATAATTTTTAAAGAATGTTGCTCTTATTTTTTATTCCTGGGCCCAAATGTGGTTCTCATAAAAGCTTGCTTTGGCCTCACTGTCACAGTCTAAAGAGTTTACCGAAATTTCTTTTTTTCTTTACTTCTTTCTTCCTTCTTGTCTCCCTCAGCCTTGCCCCTCCAGAGGAGTACAGCAGTGTGGTCTGAGGGCTGATTTGTTTCCTCTCTACATTAAACTCACGTTGCTTTCTTGGGATGCAGGAAACCAAGGCTGAAGTGATGTTTGATTTGGACAATGTACAAGTTACTATTCTCATTTTACAGTGAAAGAAATCAAGGTAGCACTGAAAGCTTCACCAATTTGCCAGTATCACACAAACATGAGGAAACCCAGTGACCCTGTAGACTCATCTTGGGAGACAAGGTCAATCTGAAAGCTGTCACACAGCCTTTTGCTTTGCTTCCATTTCAAAAGACTGAGACATCCAGAAGGCACCGCACAGGGCACCTGCTGGATAGTACAGGAGGCTCTGGAGCCAAAGAATGAAGAGCAAGAGCAGCCAGAATGCAGTAGAACTGGGTCTGCTACTCTCGTGCACAGGTGGTACCCAAAGGACACCCACACATGCACTTCGCTGCTCAGGGAGTTCCATGCTGCTGAACATATGCCCTCGCTCCTGCTCACAGTACAACTCCCCATGCAAGGGAGCGTTCAGCCATTCATCAGCCAAAACGGAAACAGTACCAGGAGCTGCCAAGAGCAGCTGGAACCTAGAGCCAAGAGGGAGCCTTTCTGAATTCACACCAAGAAAAGAGGCTAGCTAGGTCCCTCACTGATACCTGTTTGAACAGGTACGCTTCCCATACATTGCTGACTGTAGACAGGGGCTTCGTGGTAAAATGTGCATTCTCTGTTTTCTAATTCTGCATTCATTTATGGTTTTCATTTCTATTGTCAGCATGTCCTCTACACATGAATTAATGTTTACTGACTTTAAATTTGAGGATAAACTCTAAACTTTTCAAATTATATGACTGGCAAGGCCCCTTAGGAGCCCTGGTCCTACCTTCTTCCTCCACGTCAGCCCCTTCTGATGACCCCACACAGGCTCTTCTGTTCCAGGGTTTCCTTGCCTTGGAGCCCAAGGACATGCCATCCCCTCTCTGGGAAGATTTCATCTGCCATCACCACTTGCCAGACTCCCACCCAATTCTCGGGTCTCAGGTCTCAACTCCTGTGGTCTCTTCCCTCACCCATCCCCATCCCCATCTGAATGATTTTCTTCTGATTGGCTCTCTCAGCTTCTCCTTCTCTTGTTTTTCTGTGAGTTCCTCCTAATTCATAACTAGCCATATAATGTCTGCATTGCACCATACAGAAGTGACAAAGGGCCAAGGGACAGTCATAGTCACTATGGCAGCAGAGAGCACCTGGCACTTAGTGATAGCCAACAGAATGTTTATTTGGTGAGCTGATCCACCCCAAAGCAACCAAAGTCACCATGCATCCAAGACACCTGCATAGCCATGTTCACAGTGGCACTGTTCTCCACAGCTGAATCAGCCCAGGACCTAACAGCAGATGCGTGGGTAAAGAAGACATGGTACATATATACAGCTACTATTCAGCCATAAAGAAGAATGAAACCATGTCATTGGCAAGAAAATGGAACTGGAGATGATTATGTTAAGCAAAAT